CTTTTCTGATCTCCCCAAGGAACATGTTCTCAAGTATTAGAAACAGCGCATTAAGGGACTAAGGAGGAACTGAAGTGCTTCAGTTTTGAATTAAATTAGGGTTGTTCTTGTTCCAGTGGGACACATAAGCCAAAAGAGGGTTTTAATTTTTGTTGGTAGTACCTCGAGACCTTGCTGACAAGCAATTTGTATGGTGCTGCTGTCAAAAAGTTATGTTATTTTCCTATAATGACTCATATATGTCAGCTTTACTGCTTGCTCAGCTGCTGCTGAGAGACTCCATGTGCAGATGTGAGCCAGCTCCATACATCCATCTGACTAGAGACACTTAGTGGAATTGCCCTGACAGTGGAGCTGCTTTTTTCAGTATTCTCAAGACTGTCTGCAGTAGCAGAGCTTGTTTTGCTGACAGGAAATATCAGCCAAGGCTGGAGCCATTAGTTTTCCTATGGATACATCTTTGCACGTGCCATTGCTTTAACTTCTGCTTTCTCTCTGCCTCTTTTGCACTGCTTTCCTTTTGGTTGTAACAAGATCTTCGCTTTCTTCCTGGGCAGCCACCAGGCATCAGCAGCACTTCTCAGCTTTCCTTATCTGACATTCCTGTTGGCCCTGGCTGGAGGCAGAAAGGAGCCAGGGATAACTTCTGACAGTGGAGGAGCCATGGAAATGGAGCCCTTCTTCTTCCCAGTGTGCTTTGTGTCCTCCAGAGACTCCTGCAATGCCATGGGAAGCTGTGTGCAAGGCCAAGTTCTTGTGTATGCTTAATACATCGTGCAGGGGACCTAAAATGGCAATTCTTGTGTCTAACCCACAGATGCTTCAGTTCTGACTTGAAAGAACTGTTTGTGCAGCCTATTTCCTGCTCTCTCATTCTTTTCCTTTCACTGACCCAAATTTTTACTGGGTTCTGCACCACTTCAATGAAGTTTAAAATAAAATGCATTTTATTTTTTGATTGTGCTACTAGAGGAAGTTTACAAGTCACTTCAAAAAGCATGGTTTGCGGTTTCAGCATCAATACTCACCTTGATGAGATTTTTGGTTCTATATTTCATCCCTAGAGTGATCTATATGATGAAGAAAGTAAAAGGATAAATTACAATACTCTAAGAACTCAAGTACTTTGCCAAACACTGTTAATTTTTCTACTACAGGTAAGCAGTTAATGCATTGCCTCTTAAATCTTTGAGACAGTTACAGAACAGGAAACTTATAATTATAGGCAAGAATGACCCTGGTGAACTCCTTATCCTTATTGCATTGCTTCTAGTGAGTTACATGCAGTACTGCAGTGAAATATCAGTGACTCCTCAGAAAGAAATGCATACTTTTCCATCAGCTGCATATACTTAGAGCACCATCTTCAGCTCTGTCATCTGTCAACACAGTGTTCAAGCCAAAAAAAAAAAAAAAGGAGAAATTAAGTGGTGGTTTCCAGCAATCCAGAAACCTTAGTAACCAGAGTCTCCTGTCTCATCCTGCTCTTTTGACCACAAAATGTTACTTTTTTGGAGAATGTGACCTCTGACACAGCAAGGAGAAATGCTTCACTAGTGAGCAAATGTCTACCGAGATGCCAATGCCACTCCTCAGTTTTTCAGTGACTGTTTGGGCAAGAAGGGAGTGTGTTGGAAGTTCCTGAGGAGAAGATTTTGTGCCCAGAAAAAGTAGTCTCAGTGGTGTTGGAGAAGGGAGGTTTTGTGGCTGGAGATAGTCCTGCCTGTCCTCCCCAGTGGAAAGGCAGAGGAAGGCTAGGCCAGGCTTGTGTGTGTACAGCACCTACTTCCACTCCATGCTAAAAATGTTTTTGTCCCTTCCCTTTGTCTGCAGTGGGTCCTGCCTTGTCCCTGCTGTTGCCAGCACTGCCTCATGCTTGCTTTTCTTCTTTGCTTGGTTCAGATACTTCTCTCCTCTCTTAGCTCTGCTCTTCCCCCCACTTCTCTGCTGGATGGCAGCAGCTGAGGCCATAAACTCCAGTCTCTGGGAGCTGAAAAAGGCACTGAGTTAGGAGCTGGTGATCACACGTGCTTACCAGTTATGCCAAGAGTTACCTTTCAAAGATATTTGTGTTTTATGAATGCAAGTGTCTTGGGGTGAGCTAATAAAGCAGTGCAGAGGAAGCAGGAGCAGAACTTGAGTTTCTGGTGGCAGAGTACTGTATTTGCAGGGTGCCCTGTGGCAGGAAGTAATGATGAATCTGACACCATGTTCTCAGAAGGCTAATTTATTATTTTAGGATACTATATTATATTAAAAAATACTATACTAAACTGTACTAAAGAATACAGAAAGGATACTTACAGAAGGCTAAAAAGATAATAATGAAAACTCGTGACTCTTTCCAGAGTCCTGACACAGCTTGGCATTGATTGGCCAAAGAGCCAAAACAACTCACAGCAGAATCCAATGAAGCAATCACCTGTGGGTAAACAATCTCCAAACACATTCCATATGAGCAAAACACAGGAGAAGCAAATGAGATAAGAATTTGTTTTCCTTTTTCTCTGAGGCTTCTCGGCTTCCCAGGAGAAAATCCTGGTGAAGGGGTTTTTCAGAGAATGTGAATGGCACAGAAGGGGAGAGCGTGTGTGGCTGCCGCCCCCGCCCTCAGCAACGTGCCCTCAGCAGGATGTGTCGCTGAGAAGCCACTCGGAATTATTTTGAGAGAAAAGGAAAATGAATACTTCTCTGTTAGTGAAGTATCTCAGGCAAGTATAAACGTTGGGTAAAGTAAGTGTTTAGCCTTGATTTTAAGTGTTTTTTTTAGTGGGCCTCAAATCCTGAGGCACATGCATACCAAGCTGTTCAAGCCTCATGGTAGCACCTTGTGCTGTGTTTCATGGTTGTTCCTTGCCTTTCCTGTGGAACTTTTGGATCTGTTGGTCCTTTTTGGACCAACCTAAACCCTTTGTGTGCTCTCATTCCCAAAGGCAGCAGGGTGAGGGGAGTGCCGGGCCTCCCTCACACCTGCCCGGGGCTGGCAAAGGCAGGCTCCCTCCTGCTGACATTGCTCATTCATCATCCAGGGCTCCAACCTGGGAAAGTGCTCCGTGTCCTGGGCTCCTTCTGAGGCAATGGGAGTTCGTGGTACTCAGCTGCTTGAAAAATTAGATCATCTGAAAGGTGGGGCGTGTAAAACGTTTGTGCTTTTACCTCACAAAGTTCTGTGGAAGAGGGCATGAAACGTACTATAAATGAAGTATTCAGAGGGGAAAACAAAAATTTCCTGACTTGTTCTTGGCACCAAACATTTAATCATGACATTTGGTCTTAGAAAATGTGCAACTCTCAACATTGCCAATTCATTTTACCCACAAACCCGCAACAGACTGATGATGTGCATACAAAGGTTATTTATTTTGAGCACAGACAGGGAATGTGAGTATTCCAAATGCTTCCTTATATCTCCCTGTGGGATCTCTTTAATAAGTTGCATAATATTTTTCTGTATTAGAAGATGGTAAGACAGACATGGTGGGGCTCTTCTTTACTTAAATACACTGGTTATGTTTTCTTTTTTCTTCTTTGGAGGAAATGCAAGCAGAGAATGAGTAGTTTGTGAACAGTGTTAGACTGAAAAGCATGACTTCAAAGGCCTTTCTAACAATTTATTCTGAAACTATCAGCCAACAGATGACGTTCCAAGTAAAATAACTAATTATGTGGGAAGTTAGGTAAGCATTGATTTAGTTTCTGGTTTCTTGGATGGCAGATAATTCTTTAATAGCAAGAAAAAGAATACATGACTTACATTTCTGAACTTGAGTCCAGGTAAACCTTCTTCTGAGGACAAGTTTATGCATAACCTGTAACAATATTCTTGGAAAACGTGAAAGCCACTTGGATACTTTCTGTGAAGCTTGGCTGACTCTAAGATGCTCCCCGTTAGAGATGAAGAACAAGGTTAAAGAAGGATAAGGGAGTGCCGCAATGAAAGTATTTTAGTTCTTTGAAACTCGTGTTAATTTAGAATAGTATTGCTCTTCCAGAATGTAAGGGCATTTATCTGGAATATCAGGCGCAGTTTGACAGTGATCATGTTACTAGGAAAAGCCAGTGGGGCTTAGCAGGATAAACATCATTACTTTATATCATCAGCACATGACAAGGTAAGACTCCAAACACATAACTTCAGCATGGAACATGTGGAGACGTGGAGATAAAATTCCTTTCTATGTGCTAGAGCACCAAACCCTTTCTCATTTTGGCAAGAGTGTTAGGAAAAGGGGGGCTCTCTGTGATTGCTTGTTTGCTGGTTCCTTTTGTTCTGGTGTAACTTGTGATGATGTTTCTGCTTAGCCTGTTTTGTATATTTGCTTGTGGCAAATGATTGTACCAAGTCTAAATTGCTCTGGGTAAGCTGCACCCTTGGCCCTAACTTGTGCAACAGCAAAAAAAAAAAAAAATCCGTCAAACCATGTTGACTTTTGGCTGCAGGTTTCCATGACTTCTTAAGACCAAAATATCACTTGCTGTTACATAAATTCTGCTTGGGGAAAAAATCTGGACTTCTGGGGTTTGTACATCAGTTATCTAGGACTGAAAAAAAAAAAAAAATTAAATCCTCAAGCTCTCAGTGAAGCTGGTTCTTGTTGTAGCAGTAGGCTTGAGTTAGCAGGATTTTTATAACAGTCTTTGTGAGTGTAAGTCGTGACAGCACGAATGTGTTGTTTGTTTCTAACACATATACACAACCTTTGCCTCCTTGGTTAGCCAGTAAGACTGGCTCAGCAGTTCTTTTCTTCTATATTAAAACTTGCTTCCATCTCTATTCCTTCATCAGACTCCACATTTAAAAATCTTTCTGCTAAGCATACGTATCTGTGAGACTTTCTTGTTAAACTTTCATCCTTCCCAACAGTCTAGTCACTGTATGCTGGGGTTTTATGTTCATATTGTATGTGCAGTTGGTGGATTTAATTTTGCCACACAGAACCTGCTTGAATATGACCTGTGTTTATCTTTTCTAGGAATAACATGCGTGGAAGTACTTGCTGTTGTTGATCACCTGTACCCCAGCACGAGAGCTCCAGCTTAATCATTCTCTGCTCTCAGAACATGGAGGAAAACGATGATGAAAAATACAATCAAGCTGGCCAGATATTTGAAAACTTTGTACAGGCATCAACATGCAAAGGCACCATTCAGGCCTTCAATATTCTCACTCGCCAACTTGACTTAGATCCTTTGGACAACAGAAACTTTTACACCAAACTAAAATCGAGAGTGACCACATGGAAGGCCAAAGCTTTGTGGAACAAGCTTGATAAGAGAGCAAGTCACAAAGAGTATAAACGTGGGAAGTCTTGTATGAACACTAAGGTAAGTAGAATTGAGTTTTGGATTTCATAGCTTAGGAATTTTTAAAGTTGTTTTTCTGCAGAAGCAAGGTTTCTTCCATCACATACAGTGTGTCTGTTCAGTAACCCTTTCTTTAATATGCTGGAACTGGTTATTGACTGTTTTGGACAAATTTAAAGTGGTTTTTTTCTGAAAGTTCGGTGGAAACTCACAATATATGAGAGTGAGCCTTAAAGCATCCTGTTTTACAGTCTGTCTTGGACTTTGTCCTTTTTATACCTCATCAGCAAATAGGTGCAAGATGCAAACTCCTGAAGAAATAGGCTGCATTCATTACAGACTCTCAAGAGCTGCTTGCTTTATTAAACAGGGGTTTGCAAAGTACAAACTGTAACGTGTTCAGGCTCCTCAGCTTTGTGCATGCTGTAAGAGACCAGGGCTGGCCAAATGTGTTTCAGCAGCAGTTCCTAAGCTGCTCCCTGAAGGGGCTGCTTGGGGGTCTGGGGGTCTGTCTCTGTCACCTGGCATTGGCTCCAGTTGCTGTACAACAGCAGAAGACAATCCGCTCTATTTATGGATTGAAGTCCTTTCCTGGTAGTGTTTTTTCACAGGCAGAGTGTGGGTACTTGCTCTGTGGTAGTTACTGAGGGAAATGGTCTGCTTGGTTGTGAAATGATCTTTCCACAGAGCATGCACTACATATTTTGATAGAGTGCACCGATGAGCACTCTAAATCTTGACAAAACTGTACAAAATACTCCTGCCAGTTGTTTCATCTGGCTATCACAGAATATTTCTACTAGCTTTGTCCCAAGAGCAATTCATTCATTTACTGCCAAGTGATGGCTAAATGTTGCCCCAAGAAGGGTAACTTTTAAGAAGCTACTTGACTATACAGAGGTAGAACAGAGAGGAGGGGCATCCTGGGGTGTAACTAGACACCAAAATGCATAGGGTTTTTTTAATTCAAACTATCACTGAAGTGTTCTTTCATGGACTCAGTAGACAGGTGGTGTTGAAAGTCTCTTTCTTCTGGTTTGCATCATTGACTGAAACGTCTCAAAAGTGTGAGAAGAACACCAAGTTACCTTCAGTACATAGAGAGTCCTCTGGTTTTATTCACTTTTCATGAGCTCTCAATGATTTTTAATGTTTTTTTAAGGTCATAAGGGTCCTTAATATAGTTTTATATAGTAGAGGAGTGTCATCGCAGCTATTTAGACTGTTCCTGGCAGGCTCTGGTTTTCTCCTCTCCTTTTTCCCTTCATTTCCCTTTTTGACCTGTGCTTCCTTCCTCCCTTTTTGTTCTTTGGAAAAGTCCTTCAACATATGTCATGGAACATCTTTGTGATGAAAACAGCCAGGAAAAGGAAGGAATGAGAAAGTGTCTGATGATTAACAAATTTTAGGAAATATTCCACACATACCTCACCATACACATACAGCCCCAGGTCCAAATTTCTGTGGTGCTAAGTTTGGGGAAGTGTTTGCAACACAAAAAAGCAGTTTTAAGACCCATGTGAAATGTAAAAACTAAGTCTTCTCTCAAATGGTGACATTAGAAAGCCAAGGCTTTGTTCTGTAAGCTTCCTAAGCAAAGTGATTAATATTTATTTTGTGAGAAGATTTTGTGGCAATGGGTTGGTGCATAAAATATATAGTCTGTGCAATGCTTTACAGTGTTGCCAAGGAGGAAGCTAATCAACACCTTCCACAGTGTTGAAAGTCTGGTATTACTGCCCCTTGAGATGAAAGATTTATTTTTAGTGGCATGGTGTAAGTATTTGCAGAAATTAATGGACATTTCTGTGATGCACATATGACCAACTTGCAAATGGCTGTAGAATGTCTGCATGTCAAGAGTGTGGGTACAGATATTCCGTGAAATACTTGGAGATGTTCACCACGAGCCTGGCCCGTGCCCAGCCCTGCGCTTCAGCGTGTCATCACTGATTTAACGAGAGAAACATGAATCTTCACATTGCTGGCAGTGAGAGAGCAGCAGCCACAGTGGGGATATCTACCAGACATTCCTGGGGTGTGAATCACAGCCTCTCTGTGCCTGGCCCTGCAGGAGGGGAGGCTGCTGTGCTGGGAGAGGAGTGTGCCCCCCAACCATTGCGGTGGTGGTGGGCTCTGACAGCCCCACTCACAGATAAGGGTTTCTCAGAAATGCTGGCAGCCCAGGCAGTGCAGAGAGGTCAGGCTGCAGCATGCACAGCGCCCTTACCTGCAGTGCAGCTGGTGATTTTAGCTTTGTGTCTCATTCTGTGCTGTTTGCAGTGGTGGAACAGGAGCTCACAGCTGGCAGCCGTGCCCAGCGCTCACCTGCTCGAGGCACATCTGCCCCCATTAAAAACCCTGCTTTAACAAGCAGCATCACAACTTGAGCAATAATGAGCTAAGTGGATTTTTGTTGTTGCAGCTCTGTAAACAGAGCCAAGGTTGCTAGTAGGCATCACTTAAAAAAAAAAAATACATGACTTCAAGGCTTTAAATGAGGTTGTGGCCTTGAATGCTGTAGATGAGCCTGCAGCTCATGGTTCTTAGATATGGCTTTGCAATCTTCCCAATCTTTGGAGGAGATAGAGAAGATGCAGTTGGGTTCTAAATGACTCAGAGGAGGCTTGTTGGGGTTTTTTGTTTGTTTTTGGATTTTTTGGGGTGGTTTTTTTTTGTTGTTTTTTGAGGTTTTTTTTTAAACCAAAATGAAAATCTACTGCCTCATCCCAAAACTGCTGGGCTTTGGGTTTTTTTTATTTCTTTTTGTTTTTGCATGGTATTTAAGAGCTGAATGCTGTACTTGTTGACTTTGTGCTTGTAAACTCTTCAGCCACACTTGAGTTACTCATTGCAATATGCACAAGTTTTATGCATACAGAATGTTCCACTCCAGCTAAATAACAATAATCCTGTGTCTTAACTGTTCTTGAAGAACATTGCCAAATATGGCTTTCAAAGTTTCTACAACGATACAGTTTTAAACTGTAAAAACTGGTTGAGCAATTTTCAAGAAGTTTAAACCCACTGCTATTTCAGAGTTGTTTTATTGGGAGCATTGTTTTCCCTGAATTCTTTGTAGGAAAATAAGCAAAACAACCTGCCCCAAAAGAAAGTCAGACTGCTGAAGAAAGACATGAACAGAACTGGGGCAGAAATGATTTTTCTGAAACTGTAGGAGTCCGCCTGTGTGAGTAGTAAATCTTCACAAAACATAAACTTCCTTCAATCTTGAACTTCTAAGATGGGAATGAGTCCTGTTCAAAATTTGTTTCTGGAGCTGGCACCTGCCTAGTTCACCAGCATTAGAGAGAAACAAAAGTTTGTACTAACCAGGCAAAACTGTAGATATCACACTGTGGTTTTTTGCAAATATGTGCAGAAAAAGCACAATTTTTTAATGCTGACAAAATTTCTCTCTGGTTTTCATCTTCTACTAATTAATGCCGAGGAGCATGGCTGGACTCTGAAGGGATTATTTGTTTCTTTGGGGGATGGAGCTGGACAATCAAAGAACATTAAAGGTTTAATGCATGTTGTTTCCTATGTTAGCAGTTTGAATATCAGTCTAAATTTTTGAACATGCAAAACATCATGCAGTAATGAACAAGAATATATCCAGCTAGTGTTAGTATATTCATTAGCCTTTTTAAGACATCTGTGAATGTTGCCTCTCTGTATGGAGCAGATTCATTACTTGCACTTAATTTACATTTACTTTCAGTTTGCCTGTGTAAATGACAGGAATATGTGCATGCACATATAAATGAGGCTCCCACTGATGTTTGAGATAGTTATGAATATGTATCAGGGGGTAGCACCTGGCTCATGCTGTGCACCCGAAATTCAGGCTCTCCCATGCTTCAGGGGAGCAGAAATTTCTGCACATGGAAACATCCCAGGCTCACTCTGAGAAGGGGGTGTTAGTTCTCTGAAGCATGCAAATGTGGTGTTGCCTTCCCCTTCAAAGGTGCATGCTGCTTTTGCAAAATACATGCGTGCACTTGAGAACTAAGAAAACTTTGCTTGAAGTGCTACTGTGTAATTATCAGCTGCCTTGGTAGACTCTGGCATTTCTCTCTGGGTATTTGAGTTTTGGGACAAAGCTCCAGTTGAGGAGGGACAAATGCCTGGGTGCAGCTTTGTTCTTCTGAGCATTGCCTGTGTTTTGGACCCTACCTTGGGCAGAGTTCCTGGGCGGGAGACTTGTACAGTCTGAGCTGCTGTTTTGAGGCTGAACAATATTAGCATAAAGCAAGGAAATTAAATTAAGCTAAGAAGTTTTGAAAGCTGTGCATTTAAAACCATACATATGTGCATTTGTAGGTATATGTGTATATGGAATCATATAAAACCCTAAAAAACAAATTCAGTGATCTTGAAGTCTATAATAGAATCATTTAGGTTGGAAAAGGCCTCTAAGATTGAGTCCAGCTGGTTAACTCAGCACCCCTGTGTTCACCACTAAACGTGGTCCTCAGATGCCTCTCTTTTACTCATTCCTGAACTCAGCCTTTCAAATCTTGTTTTACAACAGATGAGGTTTCCTTCCAGAAACTGCTGTTGGGAGACTTATTGCAAGAGAATGACTCTAAAATTGTTTTTGACTGTGTTTCCAGGACTTGCATAAGGATGAAGTGGCTCTTTTTGGTACTGTCATGTGCTGTCAGTCCGACCAGGACCCAGGGGCATCTGTGTCCCTGCTGCAGAGAGGGCTCCGTGGTGGTGCTTTATCCAGCACAGCAGTGCAGAGAGCCTGTGGTTTCAGGGGAGCTGGGCCAGGGTGTGAGTCAGCAGAGGAGGAGCCCTGGGTCGCAGCTGGGGTTGGAGGTTTTTCTGACTGAACCCGAGCCACGTCGCCCTGTTCTAACCACACTGGTGTGTACCTATCAGCAATAAAATGGGGGATGGTCTTTATCTGCAAACCCCTTTTCACGTTGTCTCCATTTCTAAAGGCTGCCAAATGAATACCTTGGGAGTTACCAAACCTACTTTGCTGGTGCTGAGAAAGGGAAAGGAGC